CAAATCCTAACACGGGAAAACTTTTTGTGACGGGCCCATAGCTGCAGGAAGTGCTCAGACTCATGAAGATGTATTGGTGATTAAACAGTGGAGGGCAAAAAAACCCCTGATCAGCCTGCAGCAGGTCTGCAGGACTTTGCAGCTGAGGCCAGTTCTCATCTTAAACATAATAAAATACAAAATAAAGAACACCAACCAAACAAGCCTCACATTAAAACTGTTAGTGTTCTTAATGAATTGTCAAATCTGATTACCTCCATAATTTATTTCTTTAGAAAACCCTCAAACCTAGTAGGTTTTATTTTAACTCTATTGTTAGATGTTCATGTTTCTAATATTTTAAAGCATTAAATTAATGTATAGCTAAAATCAGTTTAGTAGTAGAGGGAAAGAAAAAAGTTCATATTATATGTCAGTGTGATATTTAATAGTACAAGACTATAGCATCTGTGTGTTTGTATAGAATATTTTATTATTTAACCCTGAAATAGATAAGTGGAAGAAAAAGGATGCATTTAGCAAAAGTTATTATGTAGACCCAAAATGCTGGACACCCTAGAGGCACATCGACAAAGCATAAATAAAGGAGGAAAAGGGCATTAGATAGAGAGCAACAAATCTCCAAAAGACAATGAATTGCACAGAAGACCTCGGTAAGAGCATAAGGTAAAATGCACAGGAGGGTGAAAAGAAGTTTGTGTATGGTGTTTGTTTATTTGGTCATTTGCAGAAAATCTAAAAAGGTTTAAAAACAATGTGAAAAGACAATCGGACAAAGAGAAAGGCAGTGGGTACAGTTAAAGTGTCAGTTGTGCATATGAAGATTCCTGAGTGATAACACCAAGAAGTATCTGCATGGCAGCCATAATAAACTATTCAAATTCTCTCCGCTCTTGGAAAATCTTACCTGCAAACCATCATCTGTAGCAACAAGCCAGCATTTAAGGGCGAACCCAAGCCTCTACTCCTTGCCAGATTTTCTGCTACCTTATCCTGGTGAGTCAGGGCCTAAGCACTGTTAGACCTGTCTAAATTTCTCCTCGTGTTAACGTAGTCTCTCTCCTTGTCTCCCCAGTATCCACACCCTGGTTCAGCATTGGACCCCCACCCCCCGAACACACACACACCACCACCACCACCACCTTTTATTGCGTTTACATTATTTTAATTATCTTGCATTCTTTATCGAACAGGTGTCTCCATAGTGTAGTGGTTAACAGATTTACTTGGTCACAAATATCCTCTGGTGTTGTATCAGGATGAAGAATAGTTGAAAGTAGATGATTGGTCTTTTTTTGTCCATGTTCTAAATACTGACTATAATAAGCTACATTAATATAAAATATAATCCTTTCAACTATTAGTTTCCCAAACCCATCAGTTTGTAACATTTATTTTGCAATTAAAGATTTTGAGAGGGATAGAAACCCTGCTACAAGATTTTACATTGTGTTAATCATTCTTCTTGTGTACACATGATTAAAATATTATAATACAATAATATAAAGCATTGCTATTCACAAAAATATATATATATTTACTTATTCTGTTAAAGTGCAGGTACTTTTAATCAGGTAATGAGTCTCTACCTTTCAAAGAGCATTATTTAAAATAAAAAGTCACAGGTTTGATCAAAGTGTCATGGATTAATTGACGTATTGATCGGCTGAGGCAGCACTTCGGTTTGTGAAGGGAGGATTTATTCAGGCTCAGTCACGGTTGACTTGACTGACCTGTTTATTGAAGCCAGAGCTATTTTTAGCCTGGCTCACGGTGTGGAACTTAAGATTGGCCAGAATCTATCAGTCAGTAATCGAGGCAGCGACGTGCAGTACAGATGTCATGGTCTGTCACAGGCTGGCAGAGATAAAGTTAGAGATACAGAAAGGTCGTCGAGTTCCTGACATGCTGTGTGTTATTTCTCAGAAATGGCTCACTGGGGAGTTAACAACTAGTCTCACATTCACACAGAAATAGGCTTTATATAGCTAAAAATCAGAAGACATACAACCACTTTGTTCCCTGAGAAAAAAAAAGCTATTCCTCTTGCTCGGTATGTCTGTGTTCCTGTGTTAAAACATTTATTTGAGGCAGCGACGTGCAGTACAGTAATTTGTAAGTAAAAATGAGCATTATCAAGATTGCTCGATATCCCTAAACAGTGGCTGCATCTCCCGCTGACGTACAACATGTCAGAGAACCACTTACTGGAAACCAGTGACTCTGGAGGTCATCAAGTTTGGCCCAAGTGGACTTTTCACTTGACATTTTGTCCGTTTGTGTTTGCGTTATTGCCGTCATGATTTCTGTCTCAGCTTAAACATTATTTACTTCTCGCACACCTCTTGCGGCTAAATTACCCCTCAGTCTAAACATGGAATATTTCAGTAATGCTGAAAACTCTGAGGAGCAGCTTCTGGTTTTGCCTTGGCGAGCTGGGAAAAGCTGGGGTCAAAGAGCAGACTTTTGAGTCTTTATTGGAGCCGAAGAAACAGCTGGATACTGTGGAAATGTTCTGGTGAGTCATGTTGAAAGCATCGGTTATAGATGGACATGAATCCTTGATGCAATAAAACCATCTCACAGCTCCCAGCAGTGAATGTGAATGAAAAAGTTTGTTTGTTTTTTTTAAACCCCCAGCTGCTCTGCTGAAGTAGGTCAGTAGTCACCAAAAGCAGCTGTGGTCTGTCAGGGATTCACCTGATTCCATCTTAAAAGAAAATGGGCTGCACTATGTTTCTATGTCCGATGTCTTTTTTCTGGAATTGAAGTTTTTTTTTCAAATTGTAGTTTGAGCGTGGAACTTCATTATATGGCTAAACTAACAATTATTGTCCATTATTAATGAACCTGATCATTACTGCCTGTATAATTCAGGTAATAGACGATACAATTGTGATACGTGTTCATCAAAGCTGAAAACTGAACAAAAAAAAAAAGTTTGGTGAAGAAAACAGCTTGGATTTTTTTTAATGCTCTCCATGGTTCCCCCTTTTTAAATCTTGCCGGCTTAAAATTTAAGTTTCTACACAACTTTAATATCCCCCCCCCTTTAAAAAATGTAGTGGAGTAGTTTTACATACAATATTTTAAGCCAGGCCTCTGCAGCAGCCTTCAGGTATGTGGGTCCAGTGAGATATACCATTTCTTGGTTACTTTTTAGAGTGACATAATTAGCAAGGAGACAGGCAAAAAGATGTTGGCACTGAAGTACTGCTTTTATAATCTGTATTTTTTCCATGAATAGTTAGTGTAGCTATGAAACCTGGAAGCAGAGTACTTGCAAGATTACAAAAACAGAGAGAGAGGCGATACGTTGCAATGAGTGCACAGCATGCTGCTACAAGTGCACGAGATAGAATTAGTTCTTTATTGTTTTATGCAATAAAGATAACTTCCCTTTTACTTTTGGCCTAAACCAGCCAAGCAGAGGTTTTAAAAATAAAACGACACTCTTTTTGTTCATGTTCAGAGGATATTATGACTTGTATCCTAAAAGTTTTGCAGGGGTAAGGGGTTGCTTTAGGTAACAAAACCCACATTGTTTAAAGATCATTATATGGTACTTTCAGCTTCTCTGGTATTTCCCAATTGGTTGCGCCAGTGGATGGATCAGCATGTTGATTTTTGATCAGGACTTGGAACTGGCACAAGGAGTACACTAGCTTGTGGCTCCTGAGGCTGTGTTTGCGTATTCCTCTCTGTCACATTTAAGGTGAAAGTGCAAATAAACAAACTCATCTCAAGCCAATGCAGAGCTTTTCAGTATTCATCACAAATTCACTGGCTGACGTTTTAAATCCTTCATATATGCTTTTGTGGTTAGAGTTCAGCATGAACAGAGAGATTTTCAGATTTATAGTAAATCACGTAATAGATCATACTATACATTTCTTCTTTTAGCTGCTCTCTTTAGAAGTTGCCTGAGTTATTCATTCACCCTATCCCAAACATCCTCTGTCCAGCCAATGCTCTGCATGTCCTCCTTTACTACATCCATGAACCTTCTCTGTGGTTTTCCTCTTTTCCTCCTTTTTTTGCAGCTTCATCTTAAAAACACCCTTTGTCCAATATTTCCATCATCCCTCAACTGTGCATGACCAAGCCACCTTAGGCCTGCCTCTCTAACTTCGTCTCTAATCCGTTTGACCTGAGCTGTCCCCCTGGTATGTTCATTTCTAATCTTGTCATTCCTAGTCACTCCCACCTAAAATCTTAGTATCTTCAGCGCTGCCTCCTGTCTTTGTGTCGGTGCCACTACTTCCAAACTACACATCATAGCAGGTCTCACGTCCATCTTGTAAACCTTTCCTTTCACTCTTGCTGCTGTCCTTCTGTCACAGATCCCCCCTTAACACTCGTCTCCTCTGGCTCCACAAGGCAAACAGATAATTCTGTAAATATTTCCAAACTGTTATTGATTGTTAAGTAGCATTTTTTTTTTTACATTTCATTTGTATCTCATTAAAAATTATTTTCTATAAGAGGTTTTTCTTTACTGAGAAGTAAACTCTTCACCTCTCTACTAGTGCCTGTAAATCCTGTAAAAACATTTTGCATGTGGATGTCTTGTTATTTATATTTTTTTATGATAAACAAAGTAAAAGGAAAAATTAAATAGTCAAAATCAAGTTTTTTTTCGTTTTCCCTTTTTTCTTGGTTCGCATGTAACGTTTTTTTTCTTGTAACTTAAATACCTGAAAGGTTTTTTTTAAAAAGTGAGATTATTTATCCTCCATTTCTTTTTCCCTAATGTGGGCATACATTTTTTCGCTGTGCTTCATTAAAGGCTGACGTTTTTTTTTTGTAGCATTGGGGCACAGTGTTCTCAGTTTCTCAGTGAGTCCACAGTATTTCATAAGGAGAATTAAAATGGGATTCATGCAGTCGGAGAGAGAGTGTGTGTGAGAGAGAGGTGGGATGGATGCGTGGAGGGGGGTGGGTTGGTGGGTGAGGGAGGCGTGGTGCTGAATGAACAGCTCCTCGGCTCATAAAGTAATCAGAGAGCTCCTCTGCTCCGTCAGAGCAGCACAGCCATGAGCCAGCCGAGTTCCCCGTCCTCAAGACCCGCTCTGACACTCCGCCTGTCCCCCTAACACACACCACACCACCATGAAGAGGCAAAACGTGAGGACCCTCGCCCTCATCATCTGCACCTTCACCTACCTGCTCGTGGGAGCCGCGATCTTCGACGCCCTGGAATCTCAGGAGGAGACGACCCAGAGGATGGAGCTGCACCTGAAGAAAGGGGAGCTGCTCCAGACATTCAACTTGTCCTCGGAGGACTTTGACGAGCTGGAAAAAGTGGTGCTGCAGCTGAAGCCGCACAAAGCCGGCATGCAGTGGAAATTCGCCGGCTCCTTTTACTTCGCCATCACTGTGATCACGACAATAGGTAAGAGAGCAACTTCTTAGATCCTCTGCGGAAACTCGGACTTTAGTTTGACTCTCGGTTATTGCACAAAACGAAGAAAATTCGTCTCGACTATCAAATAAACCTGTGGAGCACAGTTTTAGATTATTGGGAGTATAAAGACAAAACGCGATTGAATATGAGGGAGGAGGTACCCCGATTTAAGTAATTTTTGTCCAACACTGCTGATCACATTAAAATATGATCACTGCACAATGTCCTGGTCTAATCAGTGATAGCACAGATGAAAGAAACAGAGCATAAAATATCATGTTATTTAAAAACATATCAATGCAACAGGTTTATAATAAAATAGATACAGCCAAATCTGCCAGGAGACATGAAAACCGAGTATTTTAAGAGTATATGAAGGTAGCATGTGTGTGTGTGTGTGTGTGTGTGTGTGTGGGGGGGGTGTCTTTAACCATAAGGGTTTAAATAATTTATATTTGTTTTATTCATAGTTAGGGAAATATACTTAATGTGATTGCTACATTTCTGTAAGACTACTGAGGGGCAGGCTCATCCGAGAGTTGTGCCTCAATATCACCAGTCCTTATGAATACGTGTGTGAGGAAGGTGGGAGAACATTTGGAAAACTTCTGCTGTCAGGAAATACCAAAGGTAACGTAGGAGTGCTGTGCCTGAATCAAAAAAACAAAAACAAAAAAGTAACCAAAAAGTCAGGTTAGAGCTCACTGGGAAAGCAAGCTTTGAATGTTACATCAGCTGGAAGTGGCCACATTTATTTTGAGTTCCAGCATTATAGAGGATCATTTAAAAGTCAGATTTGAAGCCAATGAGTGTGTAAACGTTAAGTGCAAACTTCTCTCCAAAGAATTCTTTTGCTCACAACTTTGTCATTAGACATGAGCTTCAAAAATCTGAAAATCTCTCTGTACATGTTGAGACACAATATGAAGGATTTAAAACTTCAGCCAGTGAATTTGTGATGAATACTGAAAAGCTCTGCATTATTGGGACCTTCATTTGCCTCTTCATTTGTGCTCAAATGCATTTCTCCTGTTCCGAAGGGTCCAAGGACAACACCACAAGCCTGGCAGCTCTTTACTCAATTTTTATCAGGCTTGAAAATTAGCCTGTTTGCTTTAGTGGTTTCACTGGAGGTCAGCTTTACTCATTTTCCTCCATAGACTCTCCGTGCTTTACTCAGTCTGACATCATATCAGATAAATGGAACTAAAAAAAAAAAACTTTAATTACTGTAATGTATCAAATTGTCTTGTGATCTGAGGCCAGGTTTACATCAGCTCATTTTGCTTTTAAAAGAGTTATAACCATTTGTTTTATCATTATGCTCAAAATAGCCATGAGAAAGTGCATCAGAGTGAAAGGAGGGGTGGTATTGATGCAAATACAGAGAATTATCACCAAATTTGCAGCTCCCTGCAGCTTTAGCACATCCTTCCTGTAAATCTGTCTATACAGTAGATTACGGCTGCAACAGGTAGCTCTACTCAGTGTAGGTTCTTTAAAATGCAATTATACCCATTGAGAATGATTGAATTCCCATTGAGATCACAATGACATCTTTTACAGGAGAGAAAAGTCGAGGTGGAAGTTGCATACAATCACAATCACTCTACAAAGTCTGGATTTCCAGGTTGTCAGTTCAGACAAAATATCCTCTGTACAAGGGGGAAAGTGAGAAAATGCTGGTTTCCCCACATAATTCACACCATAAAACACACAGTTAGTAACTTGTGGGTGACTATGGTAGGTCATTTAGCAGCTGATGAGCCACATACTTCCCCAGTGATTTGGTAGAGACATAAAACAACAATAAAAAGCAGCGAATGTTAAATAAGTTAAATATTTAGAAAAGTTAAAGCACTGTGCAACAAATTGCTGATCTTTTTTGATCTTGCGTGAATCTTCAAAGAGTCTTTAAACAGTCCACTGTTCACAGACTTAATGCTTTTCCCTGACATACTGAAATAGCAGAAGTAATGGAGCAATTGATTAGCTTCTGTGTGAACCATGCGTGCACTTAAAGGCTGTTTTAAAACTGCACATTTTGCAATTAAGAAAAATAATTGTACTACCATAGTAAAAAAATGGTTTGCATGTGAATATATACCAATAAAATGTTTCATTAGATACTAATAATTCAAAAACCATATCCAATATAAGTCATAAACCATAGTTCTTAAACAGATAAGCTACCTCTGTTACTAGACAGCCAAAGTGGCAAATTCAGATTGTTTGCTTATAAAGTCATATTTTTATAGATTACACCACCTCATTTATTTCTATACATTTTTTAAAAAGGCTTCACTGTCTCCCTACATCACATTGTCCTTATCTGTCAGAAGCTGTTCTTATCTTCATCTCCTATCTGAGTCTTCCTCCTGTATTTAGTGGCCGGGGCAGCAATGACTATTGATCTGTGACTTGTAACCCTATCAGATGCAGGCAACTAATTGCACACTACCCCAGCCCCCGGGTGGCTGTAACTGCATTCTGTAATTGCGAGCCTCGAGGCTGCTACAAATACAGTGATTGGCGTTTCAGTCTGCCATTAAGTATTAATGACAACACCAGAGCCTCGCTGTTCCACTGGACTCCTGGCACATGAAATCAACAGTACGGACACTGTACTGTACACATAATATCACGCAGCTGTGGCTTATAGCAAAGTCCAAATATTGCTTCAGGATATGAGAGTGGAACGCCTAATTTGTTAAGCTGAAGCGTAAAAATAGACAAGAACCTCTTAATTCCTCGCTTATTCTTTGAATCTATAATTAAAGTCATTTTCAGAATGAGGCCTCAGGACTTTCCGCTCCAACGCAGGACACCCCCAAGGACCAGAGAGCTCAGTATGATGTGCAAACAGCTCAGTATCAAGAATAAAATGGGGAATTTTCCATGTCAACTGCCAGCTAGCACATGACAGAATCAGTCCCTGCAAGCCATAATGATAATTTAAGATAAATCAATGAGCCACAATATTAAAATCACTGAAAGGAGAAGGTAATAACAGGGATCATCTTGATACAATGTAATTTTGTGCTAAATACCCCAAATGACTTAAAAACATTTCAAAGACTTTGAGTAATTGACTCGTCTGTGAGATACACCTTTAAAAGCCCAGTACATTAAGTTCCCACCCTGACCTTCAGGAACAAAAGGCCCTACAGTCAGAACACTCTTCAAGGTCCTACATCCAAGCCATGATTTAGCATCACAAGGGGGAATTGCACAGTATTAGACAGGTGGTTTTAATGTTTTGGCCGATCCATGTAACTGACAAAGGCAGGAGAAGCTACAGCCAGTAAGCACACATCGTTTTCTAAAAGAGAAAAGGGAAGGAAGAGGTTGGGGTGCATATTTACTAACCCAACTGTGGGAGTAATATGGAATCAATGTGGGATACACCTCTAAGGAAAAAAATAAATGAGCTTTGGGCAAGAAAATGCTCTCTAAATGCCACCTGGGGAGCGCCTCTGCACGATTTCGAACTGAGTATTATAAAATGTGGGGGTTCGCGGGGATCTGAAACAGAGTCATCTTCCCTGTATCCTCACCCCAGGGGTGAACTTCTTATCACTGCCACACCACAGGGCAAACCTTGAACTCTACCAGGCAGAGGACTGTTACATAACAGAAAGAAGGACAGGGGCATACAATTGGAGGTCATGAGAAGCAGTCGTGGGCAGATGGCCATCATATAATATGTTGACTTACACTATAGAAGTCTTTGTGTAACAAGCAATATGATATCACTGTATGATTACACAAGCCAAATTAAACGGTTGGTTCCCCGGAATTACGCTCACACATTCACTGAATTGACTTTCACTGAATTCAGACAGAATTCTGCAGAAAGAAAACAAATGATATTTATTGTTCTCACAAGTTTGAAAAACACATTTAAAAAGCAAAAATAAAAACCTAAGAATTTTTCTATTAGTGTTGTATGGAAGGCCATTTCCGCCACAAAAAAAAAGTATCCATAACTCGAAATTTTGATTTACTAATTAAAAATTTTGAGAAAAGTAACTAGAAATTTCGAGTTAGCTCTGCCAATCAGTAATCTACGTGAATGACGTCATTTTCCTGTAACCCGGCAGGGTATGGTGCAGAGGAATGCACACTCAAAACCAGATCGCAACAAGTTGGCCCTTTCAAGAGTACATTTGCTGATAGTAACACCATGTGATTCAGCTAATAACACAAGGATTTCATTATTTGTGAAGCCCCGCTGAAAATACTCAGCAACTTGTGCATTCATGACTGGCTATAATACTGGTAGCTTAGCTGTAGCATTTGTAGATGAGGGCTTCAGCTTCCAGGTACCAAGGAAATGACATCATTCACGTAGATTACTGATTGGCAGCGCTGAATCGAAATTTCAAGTTACTTTTCTCAACATTGATGTTTTTGGATGTTTGATAGAAATCACATTTGGTGTCACATATACAGTGAAAGCTGCTCACATCGCAGATGCACAAGATGTTCTTCAACACTGGTCCTGTGATGCACAGCAACAGACAGAGACCAATTTCTGCAAACTACAATCTTTTAATCAGCCTAATCAGGATGTTGTAGTGTCTAAATGGAACAGAAATGAAATCATCTGGCACCAAACCACAACAGCAGTCGCATCAAGGCACTTCATTCTGTAAGATAGTTCTCCTACAATAATAGAGAGAAAACCCAACAATCAGACAACCCACTTTGAGCAAACACCAGGCGACAGTGGGAATGAAAAAATACCTTTTAACAGAAAGAAATCTCCAGCAAAACCAGGTCCAGGTAGGTACTTTGCTGTGACTGGTCATGGTAAAAGAGACTGCAAAAGTAAACAAAAAATCAACTGACCACACAGCTGAGCAGACAGAGCTGTGAGTAAAACAGGACGCATCTGACCAATCACTAGGATCAGATTTTGTGACATCACTGGCACCTCACCCCTACTTATATGGTCTTTGAAACACCGTAATAAACTTTATAAT